GATGCGTCCAACTTTCGCTGTAACGCTTCGGCTATACTTCATCTTGTACAGTGCATACCTATCGATTGTTTCGCGAAATAATCAATTCGCTCAGCTGTCTACATCTACGCCAAGTCCATGAGGATTTCGTTCGGTTCTGAAAGAAAGGTGGAGCAAAAGATGAAAAGCACTTACGAGTGAGCACGAGGTTCGCCACCGATGATGCTTTACCAGCTGGATTACTGGCCTCAACCTTGTACTCGGCGACGTCTTCCTGTTGAACGGCAGTGATTGTGAGCTTGGCTTCGTCTTTACGTCTGGGTGATCTGAATACCAAAAGCTTTACAAATTACATAAAAAAAGCTAGGAGCTGGGTCAGGATTACCTCGTGACCAGCTGATCGCTTGATCGGCTCGTTGTTACGGTACCATCGGATAGCCGGCGCTGAAAATGGGTACGGTAGAATACTAGCTATCCAACAAGCAACTACACGACTTACCTGGGAATCCGATGAATTTCGCAGTGAACGTGGCTGACTTGCCCTCATCAACAATCAGCGGCTGAATTTGAGTGGTAAATCGAGGTGCCTCGTATCGTGGCCCTTCCTCAGATCCTTTACCGGTCTGGGTCAGGTTCACGTTCAGTCGAGCTTTACACCTACAAAAAATTGCGATTGAAGGTAGCGTGTCATGGATAAGCCATGCACATGCTACTCACCTCGCTTCGCCGGCAGGGTTCTTAGCGACGCATTCATAAACTCCCACATCTTGAGGCAGAATGTTTGAAATTGAAAGCCTGTACTGTCCGTCGGTTTCGGTGGCTTGGAATCGTCCGATATTTGGCAATGGTTGTCCGTCCTGAAAAACAAACCCGTAATTATTTTATAGGATCCCATCTAAAGAGACGGGACCATTACCTTAAACCAGTTCACAGTTGGCTTTGGTTCACCAATAATGGTACATGTGAATACAGCCGGGGCATTCTGAGCGATACGTAGGTCGTTGAGCTTCGTGGCGAAATCGGGTGCCTTACCCTTCTGTACTGGAGCGGTGAGGGTAAGGTTAGCCGAGGTTTCGATCTGGAAGAATCAAAATTCAAAAAATGATTGGCAGTCAGGAAAAGTTGTGTCGTACCGTTCCAGCCACGTTCTCCAAACGAGCCATGTATTCGCCGACGTGATTGTTCTCCAATCGGCCAATATGAAGGGTGGAACCATTGTTGGTGGTGGTTATCTGATTTCGGAAACTGCTCTTGATCTCCTTTCCGTCCTTGAACCATGTGACCTTGATAGGTAGAGCGCCATCGAAGGCAACGAAGAACCTGAAGGTGGCAACGTAAGGCGAGTGAACGGGGTGAGAGGAGGCTGGACGGGCATGAAAAGGCTGGTCAAAGGGCCACTAGGAAGGTGCAGTGGCAGGACGTAGTTGGCGTGATTGAGGTATGAAACTACTTCTGCTAGAGGTTCCACTATTGGAGAAGATTAAGGAGAACATCAAAAAGGCTTCAAATAAGGTCCCCCTTTCGCGATTGCTCCTAAGCACTGTGCATGCATATAGTAACAGAGATTGAGCTCCTGCACGGGCAGCAAGCACTGCAGAGACTAAAGAGTAGGGAGGTAAGGGATGCAAGCCTCGACACATCCGCAAAAGACATTCACTTAAAGCAGATCCCGGCGTATAAGGCCTTCCCAAGTGTCCTGCAGGGCCGTCGACGCTATTATTGGACGAGATTTGTTCAGTTAGCTGGTCTTGTGAATGTGCCTTTAAGTCTAGAAGCTCATATCTCTATTCACAAGTTAAAAGCAATTTCAAGCCCAGAAACAGTTGCTAGACTTCTAGGACT